AACCCCCTGAATACAGCCAAACAAAGACAACTCCTTACTCTCTTGACTTACTTGATTTGTATAGGAGGAGACAGCACCTCTTTAAGAGTGTGAACCCCACTCCCCCTCAACTCTCCCTGCCTAAATAAAAGGGCACTGCGTGCCACATACTAGGTAGTCAATAAATGATAGATCTTGCTGTTAATACATTTTTGGCTCATGATTTGCAAAATTTTTCAATTTAGCTTTCTTCCTCCAGTTTAAGCCTTCAGGATAAGGGGCCAATGAGGCATTATTGGACACATTTTCAAAATTTTTCCTGAAAGAAAATTTTAATAAATGAGAGAGAACTTCACGAGGCTGATGGGAGAGTCATGGTCATCACCAACAATGGAAATGGGGGATGGGTGAGGATGCAGAATCTGGGAACCGCAGAAGGCTCACTGATGTGGGAACATCTTAATGGCTGCTTTCCGTGGCCAATTAACCAATTTCTCCCCACAGCATAGGAAATAAAACAGCTCTGCCCAGGTAGCTTTCTTGCCTTGGGTCCAGAAGAAAACAAACAAATCCTCCTTTATGTCATTTCGTCACGGAATAAGAAGTGAGAATGAATTAGCTAAAAGTTTGTGCAGAGCAACAATTCTTTTTATGGTTTTCTGAGTCAACTCAGGGTTAAGTTTAATCCTTTGCTTGAAGGAATTTAAAGAATGTCAAGTATCTTCTCATTTCAAAGGGAATAGTCCCAAAATACCTTTTACCATCAAATTCCAATGATTTCTGTATTATCTCTCATGGTTCCTCTTCCTGTCTTGAATGAAATTAATCTAGTCCACTTTTTTTACACCTGGTTTCTTGAACTCCAGCCAAGATGACTTCCTTTTTTCTTAGCTAATCCTCCTACCTGCAAATTTGGCTGATGAAAGCATAATTTTTCTTGTTTTCCCACTTCTGCTTCTCTCACTCCAAATCAGAAGCTCTGCTCTACATAGAATTACCCTCCTCTTTCGTTCATGCAAAGCCTACCTTTAAATATGTCTTCTCTTGCATGACATTCCCCAGACATGCTTCTAAACATAGTTTGCAGCTGCTCCTCTGTGTTCCCCACTCCAGTCCTGCCCAGAGGGCCGTTACCCAAACTAGGAAACCAATTGACTGGGTGAATATTTCCACAAAGAGGGATGGGAATAGCTGTTGGAAAACAACCCGTCTTTTTTTTTTTTTTTTTTGAGATGGAGTCTTGCTTTGTTGCCTAGACTGGAGTGCAGAGGCATGATCTCAGCACACTACAACCTCTGCCTCCCAGGTTCAAACAATTCTCCTGCCTCAGCCTCTCACGTAGCTGGGACTAGAGGTGCCCATTACCACACTCGGCTAATTTTTGTATCCTTAGTAAAGACTGTGTTTCACCATGTAGGCCAGGCTGATCTCAAACTCCTGACCTCAGGTGATCCACCCACCTTGGCCTCCAAAAGTGCTGGGATTACAGGTGTGTGCCACCACACCTGGACGAAAACCAGTCTTTGTGTAATAGTCAAGATGTAGGTATATAGAAAGCAAAAAAACAGCCACTTAGTGAGGATATTCCAAAGGTTGTTTTTGTGAGCTTGTAAAAGAGGGTGTCCTTTAAGAATTTTTTACACTACACAGTACTTATTTTTTCGAACAAGATTTTTAGGGTACCATATGCATCTGCAAGAAAGGTTTTTAAAATTCATCAATTTTGGATCCCTTGACACCCATTCACAAAACATTTTTTTCCAAGGTAAGAAGAGTTGGCAAAAAAATTTTAAGACATTTTCCAAGATCACTCAAAGAATTTGGCTTAGAATCCAAGTCCCTGGGACCAAGCAAAAATATTGACAAGTCAGGTGGATTTCTATTCCATCCTGGTTGGATATTTTTAAGTGCTTGCTGCTTGTTTAAAAAAAAAAAAAGAAGAAGAAGAAAGGAAGTAATGCATCTCATTTATTAAAATTCGCTTTCAGGAATAAATGCATCTTTCAGGGGAGAAATGCATCTTAGGTCATTAACTTTAAAAAAAAGAAAAAGAATATTTCTTCTTTTGAATTTTTCCCAAAAGCTTTGAATGGATTTCTGTTGCATTATTGGTTGAGTATATTCTTGTCAGGATAATCCACTTTTAGTGGCTTCATTTACATTAGCTATCACTCCAGAGGGCCATAGTAACAGGCTGCTGAATTACCCAAGAGAAATCACTCTTGAAAATAATCATTGTGAATGAGTTTTCATCACTTGGTCTCATCATTTCATGCTGTTTTGTCTCTTTGCTTTTCGCCCCTGATAAAAGATGTGCATAAAGAGGGCTCTTTTTATGATCTCATTTTCTTTAAAAACTTACTCTTATTAATCATAGCAGCCAGTTGATGGAGGCAACCAAAGCTTCTCTCTCTCTCTCTCTCTCTCTCTCTCTCTCTCACACACACACACACACACAAACACACACACACAGTTTTTGAGATGCATTTCAATTTGTGGGGAACATAAAGATTAATTTACTTTATTCTGCAATATCTCACACAAATTTGGTTTTCACATAACCTCATTGGTACAAGGTACATATTTAAGTACAAGGCTTAACTACTGTACTGAACTCTATTGTGTTGAATTTGTTTTACATTACCAACACATGCATAAAAGTTGAAATTTGAACCTCTTAGACAAAAGCCTGGAATAAATAATAAGTTTTTTACTTACCTGTCCGTAAGTATACTTGGCTTTATGAAAATGACATATTGCTCACACATCAACTCAAAGTAGGAGAATATAGAAGTGTAAAATAATATCTTAAGAGGTCATTTCCTAAATCATATTCTGCTGTTTTGAGAAAATAGATAAATAATCAGCTTATCTATTTCAGAGTGTAGTCTCTAGATAACAGCCAATTACTAAGTTTAGAAAACAGACAATAGCACAAAGGCTGGTAGCAGAATTGTCTAAGGCAGGTCCGTGAATCGAGAAATGAAAGGAGCATTTATTGAACATCATCAAAACAAGTCTGGGAGATGATAATTATAGTCCCTATTTTACAGATGAGGAAACTGAGGCAGATAAAGATTGAGTTCCTTGCTCATGAGTCATGCAGCTAATAAGTAAAAGAGGAACACAAGTCTGCCAGAAGCTAACGCTTAGGTTTTCTCTTTGGGAAAACTTAGAAATGCCAAGTTACGGAAACAGTCACAGGCTACTGCGGAACTTCTCCAACTCTACTGTACATATAAATCCTGAGGCATCTTGTCAGTATATAGATTCCGATTCAGTATGTCCACGGTAGGACCTGGGATTCTACATTTTTAGTGAGCCCCCAGAAAATTCTGATGCTGCTATTCCAGGGGCCAAACTTAGAAGTAGTACGATACTTAACATCACAATATCAAATTATACCTTAAACCAAAGTATCCTACTCCAATTCTGTATTTTTCTGATAGTTTCCATTCTCGTCTCTGATCTTTTTGTCACTTATCTCTATTCCTGAAGAAGTTAAAGCAAACCAACTGATACATAGCTTTTCTAGCATCCTTTAGCTAACTGCAATGAAATGTTAGATCAAGTGTTACTTTTCCTTATTTGGTAACAAAGAAATGTGATTTGTGGAATCTGAATGCTAAAACAGAATTTAGTCTCTCCTCCTTTATTTCCTTCCTCTGATATTTCTATTTCTCAGCCATCCCTCTTTTTGGGGGGAGGAGGTCACACTGGTAATAATCTCTGGCACTTTTACAAAAATGTTTTAAACTCTGCATTATCACTTTACCCCAGTATTTTCTCTCCTTTTATGAAATTGAGCTCTATGGCTCATTTTAATTCCCTTAGCTTTTTAGTTAGATAGCATGACGCTGTAATTCAGACACAGTCAAAGCTGGAGACAGCAGCATGATATTATGATACTGAGTTAGACTGAGTTAAACTGCTAGGGTGACTAGCAATTTTAACTGGGTTAGATAGTTAAACTTTAGGAGCTTCAGTTTATCCTTCTGTAAATTAGGATAATAATGGTAAACATATTTGGGTTATTTGTAAAAATAAATTTTACAAAAGTTAATTCACATAAAGGACTTAGCATAGTGCTTTGAATGGTGTTGGCTATATCATAATTAAAGATTGTGTTTTCCCATGGGGCTATGGGGTTATCTATCTGGACACCTGATGGTGGTGACAGGTAGCCCAGAGTTTTCCTTACATGCTGTGACCCAGCACCCTGAGCCAGCTCTGTCTTAGGCACTCCCTGGAAGCTGGGGCTTATTGGTGTTTTCAATACTCACACTGGCTCATTTGTTAACCCCTTCCTCATGTATCCATACATTTCTTTTTCAGTAATAATCCTGTAATAATACAGGATTATTACAATCCTGTAATAATCAGTAATAATTATGCCTTTCTTGATTTGCTCTTTAGTTTTAAAACAAATACCAATTTTAAAAAGAAGAAAACTGTAATTTTAATGATGTTACTGAGTCTTGTAAAAATATTGTATGTACTTAAATTTGTGTCTAAAAAGCCAAAAATATTACAGCATGAAGTTCACAATCTGTTTTACTGTTTAAAATTGTAAACACAAGTAAAAACCCTAAGTGGTCCCATAGAATGACAGAAGCGAAACAATTTTGGTTATTTTGTCTATACAATCACTGTTTTATCATTCTTGATTTTGAATCTGTGATTTGAAGAAGAAACATGTGGTACCCCGCAAACTAGGGCCATGAACTGCCCTAAGTATGTACCTGAGTCCTTAAGAGTCAAGGACTTTCTACCTGGATGTTTCCCTTAACAATTTTCACATCAGATTAAACGTTTGTTAGGGAACAGGTAATAAAAATGTGCAAACTTGAAATATTTATATATGTAAAAGCTCACTGGTGACTACAGCAACTGTTTAGAATGCAAACCAAGGAAAGGTTTTTACAGGGAAGAGTATTTGAGCACCAGTATGATTTAGAATTATGATGCATGGCAAGAATGACACCAAACTGCATTTCAGTTGACTCTATTATTTTTTTCAGATTCTCTACAGACAGTGAAGCCCGATATTTCCGACTAGCACTTCCCACAACCCTGCCCTTGGGACCCCACTGCCTGGTAGAAATAAAGGTCAGTATTCAAAAGTATTTGAAGAATACTGCTAATCCCTGTTTTATCCATAAATGTCATCTGTCATGAAGAAACTTTCAATAGAAACATTTTTCACAACTTCTGAGAGGTCTTGTGGTGGTCTTTGCTCTAAAGTGCTCTTGTTGAGCTCTTGATACCTATAAGCTGATGCCCTGGGTTTGTCCCAAATGATGTCTCCCACCCATTCATCATCAGGACACATGCCTATGCCCCATCTCCTTATATGTTTTGTCAAAACCGTGAATTTTGAACTAGAGTCAATATCAATGTATAATATACTGTATTAGGGCTCTTCAGACAAACAGCACCAATAGGATGTCTGTGTGTGTTTGTGTGTGTGTGTGTGTGTGTGTGTGCATATACAGTTATGCATCACACAATGACATTTCGGTCTACAAAGGATTGCATATATGATGGTGATCCCATAAGATTATAGCATATTTTTACTGTACCTTTTCTACATTTAGATGTGTTTAAATACATACATACTTATCATTATGTTACAGGCTACACCTCCTATTACAGGAGTCTATAATGTCTAGGTTTGTGTAATTACACTCTGATGTTTGCACAATAGTGAAATCACTTAACAATGCATTTCTCAGAACATATCTCCATTGTTAAGCAATGCATGAGTGGATAGGTAAATAAAATGGAAATTGATTCACACAATTATGGAGGGCAAGAAGTCCCATGATCTGCCATCTGCAAGCTAAAGAACCGGGAAAGCTGGCAGTGTAATTCAGTCCAAGTCCAAAGAACTGAGAACCAGGGAAGCTGAAGGTGTCAATCCTGGTTTAAATCTGAAGACCCATGAACCAGGAGCACTAAATTCCAAGGGCAGGAGAAGATGATGTCCTGGATCAAGAAGAAAAGAAGCAAATTTCCCTTCCTCTACCTTTTTGTTTTATTCAGGCCTTCAACAGATTGGATGATGCCTGCCTTTACTGGTGAGAGCCATCTGCCTTACTAAGTTCACCAATTCAAATGCTGATGTCTTCCTGAAACAATCTTATAGACACCCAGAATAATGTTTTACCAGCTACCTGGTCATTTTTTAGCCTAGCCAAGTTGATACATAAATTTAATTATTGCACATATAGTCTTACCAATTGGTGACCTTTTTATTCTTTATGGTATTAACAGCGAAGATTTGTAGATGGTCTGTCTACTTGGTTTTACAGGTTTTGATCAGCACTCAGAAGTTCAGTTCAATCAATCTAGTTCCTCCTGAACTGAAAGTGCTGAGGCAGTGAGTTCTTTGGGTCTTATTTCTAGAAACTGGAAAATGAGAGAGATAGTGACTAGGTTTCTGAGTGGCCTTACTAACAAGTTTACTTCCAAATAATGAGATTTCAGAAGGAAAACCAAGAGCCATCTCTGTATACATGAGAGCAGGCAAAGGAAATGTCCCAAGGGGAAGAAAGAGGGCACACTTGGGCAATGATTATGGGGTAAAGGAAGCACAGGAGAAAGTATAGAAAACATACAGGTGAAAGAGGTCAGGAGAAAGATGGTAAATATGGGGAAGCAGCAGGAATCATTACAATAATAATGCCAGTTTGGAAATGAGAACCAGTGTATAAAGTATGCCAATAAGGCCAACGAAGTGCCAAGGATCTGCCATCTGATTAGGAGAAAGTGGAGTCATAGCAGGTGTTTTATGAGACAGTTCAGAACACAATGACCAACCAAGACAGCAGGACAAGTGAGAGGTGGAGAAATGACCCAGACAAGACTTCTCAGGCTCCTGAACCTGGTCCATACCTTATGTCAGAAGGAGTGGTGACCAAAGACTTTAATTAAAGGCTCTGCTTTAATTATAGAAGCAGGAATATACCTAATTTTGTATTTAACTGCATATGTTTAAGATCTGAATATTTCTATACTCAAAAGCATAATGTATTAGGGTTAATCATTTGAAATTGCCAACATGCACACATTTTACCTATAAAAACTGTAATTTTGTGTGGTTCAAACTAATAGATATAATGATATTCTCAAGCTAACTCTTTTTATTTTTTTGTCTTGAAGCCCATGTGGAAGATCCAAAGAAAACTTTGGCTTTGACTAAGCTTCCTACATTCTCCTGGAGTTTGTGGTTTACGAATGCGGTGCCATCTGCAGAACTGACAACCCCTGATGTGTTCACCCTGCTCCTCTTCCAGGTGAGAGAAGAAGGGGAGAAAGAAAGAGAAGTTCCAGAATTTCACAGGTTGAGGGAATTGGGAGTAACTTCTGTCTATGTTTGTTTCTATTTGTTGGTTTGCTTTTTATTTTGAACTCGTTTGACTTCAGGTTCCAGATTTGTTTTTCTCTTTGCAAACTAGACTTTGACATTATTAGCAGGCCCACCTGCTTGCTTTTCTTAAATATAAAGTAAATTGGTTTTTGTTTTAAATTTCAGGTGCTTTTAAATTTGACTCTGATATTCATCTCCTAAGGCAGTTTGGGCATGGTAGTGCTGCCAAGAACAGAGAAACCTTGCTTTATAGAATCTTTTTGTTCAAATGAATGTACATTTTTAGTGTTAAAAAATTTTCAGTTTTTGGCCAGGCACAGTGGCTCATGCCTATAATCCCAGCACTTTGGGAGGTGAACGAGGGTGGATCACAAGGTCAGGAGTTTGAGAGTAGCCTGACCAACACAGTAAAACCCCATCTCTACTAAAAATACAAAAATTAGCTGGGCATGGTGGCATGCGCCTGTAATCCCAGCTACTCAGGAGGTTGAGGCAAGAGAATTGCTTGAACCCAGGAAGCAGAGGTTGCGGTGAGCCGAGATTGGGACACTGCACTCCAGTGAGCCGAGATTGGAACACTGCTCTGTTGCCTGGGCAACAGAGCAAGACTCTGTCTCAAAAAAAAAAAAATTGTCAGTTTTAATAGGTTTGATTTGCTTGTCTATAATTTATGTTTTCTTCCTCATTCTCTCCTATACCCTGGGCCTGCATTTACGCTCTGATCAAGTTTCTTTTCATATCTTTCCCCCTCATGACACACACAAGAAACCTAATACAAAACACTATCTGTTTCTTTCTCAAAAGAAAAGAGAAGGGTGCCTATGGAATCATACTGATTCCTGTGGGCCCCTTGCATAAATGATTGTGGTGCATTAGATAATGACCATTCTTTGGTCAATCAATCATTATTGAGTGATTAGTCTGTGTGGAATACTCTTTATACAATATCTTGAGTTATGATGGGAACAGATTTTATGAAAGATGTTAAAATACTCACGGACACAGACTTTCTTGACAATAATGCTTTTGAGATCCTTTTATAATGGACACATATTTGGGATGAAAAAAAGCTGGAAATTTGCACAAAGGTTTGATCCAATGGCTTTCTAAAAATGAATCTAACCATTGTGAAGTTAGGCATCTACTTTGTACCCCCAGCAGTGCCAGCCTATGTAAGGTATGCAGGTAACAAGCAGATTATTGTCCTGGGAGTGGGGAAAGTCTTGCCTTACCAAATATTCTCTTTTCTCTGCCTGTCATACTATAAAAATGTTTTCTTCTCTGGGATTATTTTAAAGACACCTTTATTCCAGGTAGTATTTTATCACCTGGGAGATAGATATTCTTATCTAACCACACACTAGAAAGAGCAGCTGATCTTCAGCATCGGTGACAGAGCAACACCCTATCTCTAGAACAATATGCATACAAAAGATTAGCGAGGCATGGTGGTGTGTAACTGTAGTCCCAGCTACTCAGGAGGCTGGGTGAGAGGAGCCCAAGAGTTTGAGGCTGCAGCAAGCTACAACCGTGCCACTGCACTCCAGTCTGGGTGACAGAAAGAGATTCTGTCTCTAAGAAAAAAAAAAAAGAAGGAGGAGGAGAAGAAAGAGCAGCCGGTCTTATCTTCACATGGCAGGAAACAAGGTCATGAGCAATGGCCACACAGGACTGTTTTATTTTGACATAATGGAAGTGGCTTGGGAAAATGTGAAAAGAAAGGTCAGCCTGAGTAGCTCGAGGGAAGAAAAAGAATGTTGTGTATTTCAACAAACAGCATTATGGTAAAGAAGAAGCAGATGCCAAGGAGGGGAACTGAAGAAACGTCAGTGATAAATTCACCATTGCTGCAAATTAGCATTTGCCCAACCTGAGTAGGGAAATTCCAGTGAGCAGTGGAACAACTTGATGGGGAGCCTGGGAAACTTTGAGCAACCATCTAGATGGGGCAGATGCACATAGGGTGACCAGTTCATCCAGTTTTGCCTGGGACTGTCCTGTTTCTTTTATTTTCCCCTGAAAACACTAATTTAGTTTTTATTTTATTTTTAAATTTATTATCTTTTTTAAGTGGACAAGTAAAAATGGTATATATTAGTGGGGTGCATAGTGATGTGTTGATACATATAATGTAGAGTGATGAGATCAGGAAAACTACTATATCCATCATCTCATACGTTGTCATTTTCTTGTGTTGGGAACATTCAATATCCTCCTTCTAGCTATTTGAGACTAATTAATGTATTATTATTAACTATAGTCATCCTATAGTGCTACGGGATGCTAGAATTTATTCCCTTAACGGTAGTTTTGTTTTTGTATCTGTTAACAAATCTTTGCATTTCCCTTCCTTCTTCCTATCTTCTCCAGCTTCTAGTATCCTCTGTTCTTCTTACTTCTATGAGATCAACTTCTTTTAGCTTCCACATATGAGTGAGAATATGTGGTGTTTAACTTGCTGTTCCTGGCTAAATTCACTTAATATTAATGTCCTCCAGTCCCATCCATGTTGCCATGAATGACAGAATTTTATTTTATTTTTTAAGAGAGGCCTATTTTGTTTTATTTTTTTAGAGACTGAGTCTTATTATGTTGCCCAGGCTGGTCTCAAACTTCCAGCCTCGAGGGATCCTCCCACCTCAGCCTCCCAAAGAGCTGAGATGATAGGCACAGCCGTTTCTTTGGCTAATTCTTTTTTATAGCTGAATAGTATTTCATGGTGTACACATTTCACATTTTCCTTATCCGTTCATCCAGTCACCTAGGTTGAGTCCATATCTTGGCTATTGAGAAGAGTGCTGCAGTAAACATGGGAGTGCAGATTCTCTTTTATATACTGGTTTCCTTTCCTTTGGTAAATTCTCAGTGGTTGGATTGCTGAATCATATATATGGTAGTTCTATTTGTTTTCCATATGGCTGTATTATTTATTGGTTTTGACACCAAATATTCCACATTCCAGAAATCTCCTCAATCCTAGGCTCACTGCAGTGGTTGATCACTCTAGCTCATACCCCCCAGATTCTGAGAATATCATTATCTTATTCCCAGATAACTTTACTAGGAAATCTGCATGAGGTTATCATTATTATGGGCTAGGTTATATAGCAGGTACATTAAAGTTTTTCAGAGAAATAGAACCAAAAGGAAAGATATAGATGTATAAGCACGGATTTATCATGGGAATTGACTTACATGATTATGGAGGCAGAAGGTTTCATGATTTGCTGACCCTAAGCTGTAGAACAAGGGAAGCTGTTGGGTGTATTTTAGCCTGAGTCTTAAGGCCTGAGAACCAAGGAAGCTGATGTCACTTACAATCTGGGGCCAAGGGCCTGAAACCAGAGATGGCCACTGGTGTCAGTCCTAGAGTCCTAAGGCTCCAAGAATCCAAAACTCTCATTTCTGGGGGTGGGAAAGGATGGATATCCCAGCTTAAGAAGAGAAGGGAATTCACCCTTCTTCTGCCTTTTTTGTTCTATCCAGGCACTCAACAGATTGGACAATGAGTACCACATTTGTGAGGACTATCTGCTTTACTCAGTCTACTGATTAAAGTGTTGATCTCTTCACAAAACACCCTCACAGACACATGCAGATATAGTGCTTTACAAGTTATCTGGGTGTCCCATAGATCGGTCAAGTTGACACATAAAGTTAGCCATCACAGTGTGGTTCAAACTCATTTCTTTTATTTCTTCCTGCATTTTCCTGAGTGTCTGGACCATCCTCATAAGAGGTTACACTGTTCTTTGTCTTTTAGTAGCATCAGCCTTTCCTCCCTGGCCCTCCCCTCTCCTCGTCATTGTTTTCATTTTTAATTTTAGAAACTGATTCATTCTAGGAACATCACTTCCTACAGTTGTTGTTTGGTGCTATGTGAGAAGATTCTCTGAGGGCTGTAATAGGGTTGTGAAGCTGAGAGATTTCAGAGGTGTTATTCTCACCAGAATTCAACAGTGGCTATCTATTTCCACATAGAGATAAGTGCAAAGTGTGGTAGTGACTTCAGGAATGTCGAGCTGTTGGTCCTATAAGACAAACTTACTGATTTTTTCTTGGGAGATCTGTCATATTCCAATAGGCACCACACATATAAAGTGCATGCATGCCCTGGTCCTGACCAGTCTTTGTTTGGTCTATAGTTTATGAAAATATATTAAACCATGGTTATGCTATACCTCCTGTATAATGGTGATGATCTGTGGCAATACCACAAAATCATTTATAAAATGTATAACTATTTATATAATTCATAAATTATTATGTTATAAAATCCATAAATGTTTGAGAGTATTGTCAAAAAGCTTTAGAACCAGATTAAATAATTCACTAAGAAAGCCATCTAAGTGAGGCAGGAAGCAGTGACTCAGGCCTGTAATACCAGCACTTTGGGAGGCCGAGGTGGGAGGGTCACTTGAGGCCAGGAGGCCAGGGGTTTGAAGCTAGCCTGGGTAACATAGCAATACCCTGTCTCAAAAAAAAAAAAAAAAAAAAAGAAGAAAACAAAAGTCATCTAGGTAAAATCAAGCACATTGTATTGATCAAAAGTATTTGTATGAAAGTTTCATCCAGTGATAATTCTTTGTTACAGAATAATCAAGTATTAATGTCCTTAGCAAGGAAAACAATGAGAACGTGTATAAATTAGGATTTTTTTCATAGGTCAACTTTTCATTAACCTTATTAACAGTGGAGAGAAGATGCATTGCTTTGTTATAAGCTGATAACAAAAGTTGTCAAAATGTGGTACAAAACACATTTAGTTAAAAATGCATCCAGTGTTTAGAAACACATTTACTATTGAATGTAGATAATCTAAACATTAAACATTAATATGAATATATTAGATTAGAAACATCTAATGCCAGAAAGCTTTGGCGTATCAAAATATTATTGGGGTTTCTTAGCACATCACTGTTTTAT